ATCTCCTGGTTTTGACCTCTGCCTGTCTGTTCTCTGCTCTGTCGGTGAATAAACCACGTTGCCCACACTAAGACCGTCTGTTGCCGTGCTTCTGGGTTCTCCCTTGCCAGCACCAGTGAGCGTGACATTTTCTACCATTTAATCACAAAGTGAAGAGTCATCACTCTGTCCTTGATTCTGTCCTTGGTTATATGTAGAATACAAAAACACATTTCCATTATACAGCTTTAATCATCTCCTCCACTGAGGTTATGTTTTCACCCCGGCTGTTTCTTTCTTGGTCGCTTTAATAGTTGGAAAGATTATATGAAAACAACAGAACCGCTGAAGGTTGGCGGGAGGATGTAGGTCAGGGAAGAAGCCGGAAAGTTTTGGCGCGGATCTAAATCAGGGGACGGATTAAACATAACGTCTTTGTTGGAGGTGACGGTGAGGAGACATTTGTAATGTGCAGTTCAGATAGAAAGAGATTCCACGGGACAAATAAAACACCCTGTCCCGCTGAAGACCAAAACAACGGATCAACCAACAAACAGACAAAGACTCTCGATCAACCTCACTTTGGACTGGATGAGTTTTTCAGGAGTAAAACTGAAGCACGTATTTTTGCAGAAGCACAAAACTTTTTGATGCTTTCTGTGGACGTCGATCTGCCCGCGAGGACGGTTCGTCCCGTGCAGACAGACTGACAGTCAGAGGACCTTGAGCAGATGGAGGATCACAAGGTTTTCCATCTTCAGCTCAGTTTTTCACTCACCAAACTTTCCTGAGCCGTCACTCGTCTCTGCTGGATTTGTGAAGCTGCACCGGACTTCTTTAATCTAGTAATCCATATGATAGGATGACACATGTGAAAGGATTCTTAGATCATGTGTACGTTGTGTGGTACAATTTAACGGCCTGACGTTAAAACGCTGGAGCTGTAATCCCCTCGTTAATTATTAACTTCGCTCGGAAACTGATGCAAGACTGAGATCCGCATTCAACGTTGTCAAGACATCGTCTTTTCTTTCCACCAGCTGTCACTGCGCTGGTTTTGCCCTCGGGTCATTTTACCTGAAGCCTGTCCGCTGCCTGCCCAGGTTTTCCTCATATGAGACGTCCATCAGTCACTTTCTAACAGGTTGTCTATTCACCAGTCTTTCTTTGTCTGCATCTGAACTGATGATTGTCTGCTTTGCGTCTCCTCCATATGTTTTCTGAATCTATACATCAAATAAATACTCTTCCTGGATTCATGGTCAACTCTTCACATTATAAATAAATAAAAGGTTCCTGGTACACACTGTTCCCACAAACACAGTTCCAGTTTTGCAGTGACTGTGATTTCTCCGACTCCCGCTGGCGCCAAGCAACGAGACATTAAGTCGACTAATAAAAAGCTTTACATTTCTCAGACTCTAACGGACAATACACAAAGATCAAGATTAGTTTTTACTTTGTGACACATTCATTTTGTTGAAATTAAAGTAGTTTAGAATTATACATTCATTATATCGCTTAAAGGTACAAGACCACCGTTATATCTGTGTGTTAGATGCAAAGCCAGCTGCTGGTTGTCGAGAGAAAACCTCTAATTCGAAAACCTTCATGCTATAAAAGCAACAATTTGAATTTTCTATCGATCAAAACACATCGAAACCAATGAATGAACTGAATATCCAACTTATTTACAGTGGAAAAACTAAAACACCACAATGTTGAAGAAAAGAATAATAAAGTCCTGGATCCGCACTGAAATTCATTTTGTTCTTTCTTCCACCAAATGCGATGATAATACGTTCAACATACAAACTCCTCCTCAGGGGATGTAACAAGTATGTGATTAAATCTTACAGACAACCACATTTAAATCTACTGAAGACACAAGAGACATAAGTTTCTCGTGTTCTCTCTTGGCTCATGACTCGTCCTCCCACCAACGTAGCTTCTGCGTAATCCTGCTGACAAACACACCAACAGGTGAAAAGGCAATTTAATCTTGAATCATCAAACGAAGTCATTCAAGCGAATCTTGTTAAAAGATCTTTAGTCTTTTGCACCTCATTTAGAAACCTCTGATCCTCTTGCATCATGTGAACATCCACTGAACACTTTAATTGTGTGTGGAAATGAAAGTCTGTTAACAAGCCCACAACGCATTTAACCGCTAACGTGTGAGTCCAAGATTTACATCATCAAATTGTCTTGTGTGTTAATCCTGTTTAAGAGCATTACACCATTATCAAAAATGTTCTCTTCCGACCCAGAGCTCCTCACTGAGGAGTCACGGTGTGCGGCGCCCTGCTCCGGTTTCTACAACCGCCAGGTTCAGTTTAATGCCGCTGCCTGGGAGGAGCAGGATGTGGCTTTAAAGTCGAAATGCACCTCGAATGCTGTTTGTGTCCCGGGAGCCGTCAGCTGCTGCGGCTAACCACAGTCTCAGCGCTTCACTCGTGTCTGAACACAGAACGGACACAGTTGGGAATGCCGGATAAATTAAGGAGGGCTTTTCGAAGTCAGGTTCAATTTCCCACTTCGTGTTGAAGCATTTTCCACTCCTCTCCACTTGCAAATTTCAGCGGCGCGATGAAACAATAGAGGACGGTCGAGTCAGCCAGTCAATTTTGGAGATTAAGTGTGTTTCTCGGTGAATTACACACGCGCCTCCGAGCCCCTTAATGGGCTCATTTGAATTCTGGATTAACTTTGATGAATGAAATTGACGATAGCGGCCTCGGAACTTTTGCGTCTGCAGAAATCTTCAAACGAGTTTCCAACACAGCTTTCTGCCAGGTTCAGCAGAGTCACTGTGTGAAGAGGGGAACTAACAATAGAGATAATAATATAATAATTCATACATTTTATAATGAAGTAGACTAATACAACCAGTGTTGATAGTTAGCTGAATAGTTAGGCTGTGTAGCAAAGGTATTTATTGCGTACACAAAATATTAGTTACTGAATTAAATTATAATTTTGATCAAATGAAATGTTAAATTTGTAGTTTAGTTTAATTTTTCAGCAGCGCAGCTTGTTGTGTATAACGACGGATGACATCACTTCCTAAAAGAGAAGCTAAATGACCTGCATTGCCCCCTGGTGGCTGGTAAACCCAACCTTCTCCATGTTAGCAGACGGGCATGGAACAAAATAAAATGACAAAAGTACACGATGAAAAGTTAATTCTGTCATTTTAATTACTTCTGTAGTGTTTTGGTCAATTACTTCAATCTATTAATGTATATAATGTATATTCCATCTTAAATGAGAATGTTAACTTCATGTATATATATATAGTTTATGTTGTGGCTGTGCAGCTTGTTAGTTTGATTATTATTTGTAGAGTTTCACACACTTGATGCTGTCAGATGTTTCTCTGGAGCTATTTTTATTTTAAGAGGATTACGACAGCGAAGTGAAAAGAGTAAATTCACCGTTTTAGTCTCGTCTTGTTTAAGAGTTTTCACCTTGACACAAAGCGAAGGAAAATAAAAAGCTGAAAGAAAAATAGCCTCTTCAGCCGCACTGTCAGAGTTAACGTCTCCATCAGGGTCTTCTCGAGGTAACAGCAGTATTGTGTGAACACCACATTCACACCAATAAATATATAAACAAATAAGACATGTGCTGATGTCGTGGACATCTCATGACATATTCCAACCAGCAGATCGACTCCGTGACAATTCAGAAAGAACCAAAAACAATTAAAGACTTAAAATTCTCCAGGACGTGTCATCTCTGTCTGTGAGTCCCCGTCTCGTCCCGGGGAACCGTGTCCATCTATTATTTGTATTATGTCTGTCTCTTGTCAGTAATCCGTCCACTGGAGCCAGAAAAACAAGTCTATAAAAAAAATAGTCCTCAGAGACGGTAGCGGAGTCTGGGACATAAACAAACACAATACAAAATAATCCAACACTTTCTGGCTTTGCTCCCATGAGAAGCAGACAAAAGGCTCATTTCTCTTAAATTTAGTTTAAATTCATATTCATAAGCAATTCTCCTTTTTGATCCGCCCCTCCCCCGACGAGTGTTGCATGTGACGATCCTGCGTTACACGGTATAATTACTGCAGAGGAGTTAGATTTGTGCAGATTACAATAAGAAACATGTCAAATTCCGTCAAACGTCACAATGAACACGGACGCTTCCGACCACGAGGGAGCGTGCGGTCGACGTGTTGATTACAGACCAGTCAACCAGAGCAGTGTCTGCGGAATTGAATGTCCATCATTCAACCATCAGCTGCTTCTCCAAGAGTTGTTTTCTGTAAAATGCTGAATACACAGTTTCTTGTTCACCGCGTGAGTTTTTTTTAATCCTGCACGATGGATTTACATCCCCCCCTCCCCCGCAGTGCATATGACAAATAAACAACATGACTGAATGTCTTTGAGCGAGATTATGCAAAAGCAGTTACATTAGCCTCTCTTATATTTTCTTTCTCACAATCCCTCACATTAATATTAATGCACACAAAACACCAAGCAGTTTAGGAGATGTTGATTAAGATTGTTGCTTTAAAAGTAATAAATTAAAAATGAATGAGGAAGAGCTGTGTGATTTCTCTTTTGTTTTGAAGTGTTGTATTGACAATTGAATCTATTATAACTCTATCATTAAAACACTGCGTCAGTACAAAGCATTTAATTAAGAAGTGTTTTCTTTATTTTACATGATTGCCACAATTTAATTGACTTCTCGCTTGAGCGTGTATCACAGCTTCACCGCCATCCTCCAGCACTTCCTTCGTTTTTTAACCATCTCATTAATTAGCACCATACTGGTACAGCTATGAAGAAGTGACAACGTCTATACGGAGCTCGATTACAGCACAGAGCTCAAATGTCATGCATCGCTGCACTCGGGGCTCCATGGGGAGGTAACTCACGATGCCATGAGTTCAGAACTAAAAATACTGCATACAGTCGTATGACGTCTTCAGAAGCCAGGCACACACCGTACATATGTTTCAGTATCTCATGTGAGTCACTCGTTGCAAAAAAAAAACAAGTGGGTACAATATTAAATATTTTAATAGTCGAGTCTTACAAAAATACAATTCAAGTGCTGACACATACAACCACCACATCTGTATGGAAATCTGCAGCATGTGTATATATGACAGTTTTCAATAAAGGCTGTATTTTTTGTTTTTAACCAACGCCTCAGATGTTTTGATTGACGGACGTGTTCGTTATCAAAGCTTGGAGATGGCGGTCAGCAAGGAGCCGGTCAGGACGACGCAGGAGGCGAAGAGGAAGATGAAGCAGTTCGCTAACCCCTGACGGGAAAACAGAGCTTTAGCATTAGCAATAAGAACAAAAGGGTAATTTGCTAAAATGCTGTTTTTGCTAAAATGTTCTCATAACAAATGTAGTTTTCTGCTATTTACCATCATATTGAGCCAATATCCCATACAGGTAAAGTACAAACCGGCTGTGGTGATATTTCTGTTTAATGGAACCCAGAAACCTCACGTGTGTTGATCTCGACCTCAGGGAGTGGGATGAGTTAAAAACATGTTTGTGTGTTGAACCAAAACTAAATCTACCAGGGGTCGAAAAATCCGAGAGAAATCATTGTGCTGTTATTTCACCTCCTCGCTCCCCATCTCTCTCTCGTGTTGCTAATCCTTGACATATACAAGGCTGCGATAATCTCAGAAATATAAAATACATGTATTGTCCCCTAGTATTTGATAGTATTATTTGATAGTATTTTAGTATTTTTATATGGACAATAATGCCTTTTTCTTAGTTTTTCATATAAAACATTAATATTTCTTGAACAAACTGTTAAAAGGATTAAAATACAGGAAATGAATGAATGAAAAATATGAGCATATATCATTTTTATAGCAGTTTTGGGCGAGGGGCATAATTGTAGAGGGAGTGGCCATTTAACTGCAGCCCTGAGGCTTAATGGTTGGTGAGTCGATGTAGGTCGTCACATAACGGTCATCATAAATCTGATTCTCTAAGATCGACCAGAGCCCCAAATTGTGCAGTGTGTACCTGCCATTAGTTCAATATACAACCGATGAGCGGAGTGGATTAGAGCAGATGATTGAACTTGAGTGTCGTGACCCACACCTTAATCTCCTTGAAAACCAGGGATCCCCAGAGTGCTGCAACCAGACCGTATCCCTGCAGAGGACAAATCAAACCAGGTGTTGACTGAGCACAGACCACTGATTCAAACCAATTTCCTTAAATCTGCTTCCAGTTTGTAAATCTAACGCTTTCAAAGTTCTACAAACTCTGCACTGAACGACTGACCGAGCAGAGCCAGACGTGTGCGGCTGCAGCACAGCCGGTTTGACACCTCTGGTTCCAAGGGTTGAGGACAAGACGGAGTTGAGGCCACGAGTTCATGCACATACGTAGCACGGTCAAAACGCAGGCCACAGAATTTATACCATCTAACAATCATACAAGATGAACCCAAATGCATTTAATCGGTAGAGTTTCAACATATGTGACATTATGACGCATGAAAAGGCTTCATGCAAACATTATCAGTATGTTCAGTGTGGTGGTTTGACAGTGTTGGTTCCTCAAACCGTCCCCAGGGGACATTCATCTCATTCAATACCTTTCTACACAAAAGCCTTTATTGAAAATTTCTCTCACCAGCAGATGAAGCCACACACCACTTTCCTGATTGCTTGACATTTTGTTCATCTGACCAAAAACTAAAGGAGTCATTGTCTTCGAATCACATCATCAACACCCCAGGACAAAAAAAAAACAAATCACAGTAAAAAATTAAAAAAAAAAAAAAGATTAATCTACCTCAATGTTCTGTTTGAATTGGGTCATCTGAGTGTCTGTGAAATAGTTTCAGACAACAGACACGACTAAAATCTCTAAATAAAAACTGTGGAAGAAACTTCGGGGCCTTTGTGGGAGTTTTTTCATTAGTGTGATTCGATTTCCATGAAGCAGGGATGAATACGATACGGGTCAGAGAAGAACCCATTACATTTCTCTGTGGATCAAGGATTTTGTCACTATCTTTAACACTGCGAGAGTTTTGACATTTCCCAGAGAATAATCAATGGGATGAAATATGAATAATATTTAGGGGACTGATGTAAGATTTGGAGCATCTTGATTGAATTTAAGGGATCGGTTTACTTACTGCCGTGATAATGGGGAAGGTGATGACTGCACTCAGGTAGTTATTAGCCAGGAACCAGCAGTACGTAGCCAAGGTCCACATCAGTCCAGACGACAGACCTGAAGAGCAGAATGAGACGTTAGAATTTACCAGTGCTCGAGAAAAACAGCTTTTAAGTTGGCAGAGAGTCAGGAATCTAATGTAGAGATTATTTTATGTAAATGCTCCTCGACAGGTACGAGAGACGGAATCACACATGCCCCAGTTTAAATTTCCTCTCGGTAGCTTTACAGGAAACCAGGACACGTTAGCCAAGTGCCGCAGGTGTAAAGAAACAAAGTCCAATTTCAAAGCTCCATCCGCCGAAGCTGTAAACCAAATAAAAGATCAAGACTGAAGTTGTATGGGATGTGAGGTTCTGAGCCAGAGCGGACATGTGTGCCCCTGAGCACTTTCCAAGATTCAACTGTTCCCTGAGCGGATGTGTTTGCACTTGCAGCTCAGCGAGAGAGGCAGCGATAGTTCCCCCGACAACAGCCGATTCCTCGCGTCTTTGTGAGAGTCAGACCGAGGCTATTATTACACCGGCCGCTCGGCCGCGGTGCACCGACAGCTCAGTGGTTCACAGAAAATCAATCAACCGGTGGAAAATGTTAGTTACTGCCGGGCCACTCGGTTTCCACGCAGTCTGAGAAGAACAGCGGCTCACAGACCTGCTGCCAGATCCGGGGCAGCAGCTTGTGGTTTTGGCACCGACAACAAACGGTGGTGCACACAGGAGATTCCCAACCTTTAATGGAATTGGTTTTTAAACATGAAGAGGATTTTACTTTCACCTGTTACAGCTTTGACTTTTTTGATAGTTTCATTTTAAACCTTTTTCTTTTAAATATCAAGTATTTGATGAGAAAAAAAGATGAGTTTAAATGTCAGTAATGTCTCAAGAAGTCTAAGAAACCCAATTTCCTCAGAGGAAAAAATAAAAAAATAATAGAAATAAGCTTTGGAATTGGAAAGTCAAAATGCAAATGCAGCATGGCTCTGTCCAAAACACAATTTAAAGAAAATGCTTAAATTCATTTACGTTGGGGAAAAGCAAATACACTACAGTCAGTTCAGTTTTACCTGTTTGTTTGCAACATTTATATTTGAAGAATACATCATCCCAGTGAATGAGCTGCCCGGTGAATTTCTCCAGAGCTCAATCAACACATCGCTGCTAATGTCACCAAACACTGAAGATGTAGACAGAAAGACATTTGAGCCAGGGATAAAGACAGACTGTGGGCTGCAGTGCTTTTTAAAATTAAACAAAAATACTTTAATTAACTTTGGATAAAAGAGATGAGAAGTTACAGAAGAGAAATAATTTGATAAAGAGCGTTCGGCAGTGACCTTTTGACCCCCGAGGGAACCTGGCTCAACGGCTACAGATGCAAAATGGCTGACGGATTAAAGTTACTGCCGGTGTCGCCGAGACTTAACGATGATCCTCAGGGAGAATAGTTATTGTGAAGCCGCACTCACACAACAATCTGTTCCTCCATGGACGCAAAGCAGTTTCAGTCAGTGACGACTCAAACAGACCTCGATCATCGTGTGTGTTGGAACCCTCACCTGGTAGGATGAGCCTGGAGTGAAGCCGGGGTCTGTTGTGCATGGCGGCGCAGTAGATGGTGAAGTACAACGTGCTCGTGAGAAAAATGCCAGAGCACTGCGCATAAACATAGTCGAGGTCTGGGAAGAAGACGAAACGAGAATCGACGGCTTTACATCGTTTGTGGAAAAAGAAGAGTCAGCTGCTTTCTCTTGTGTCTTTAGGAAGTCGGTCAATAAAGTGAAAATCTAAACATAACAGCAGGAAAACATTTTACTGTCAAGAGCTTCACACGGTGACTCCTGCAGAAAACCGGATATTAAACCAAGTCCTCTGGTGGAGCCGCTGTTATTTATAGAGGAACACTGGGGCACATTAAATTGAGAAGACATTAATCATTTTGACAGTTTTTTTTTTCTTTTAGGTGCATACATGTGTGAAGTAAGATTAAAAGTGAATCCATACCATAGTCACTGGCTCCATGGAACATGCTGTCCTGGCACGATGAGTGGCTTTTGATGTAGAGGATGGGGGTGATGGAGGAACCGTACAGCAGGCCGGACACCACGGCCAGCAGGCAGCCTCTGACGAAGAGGAGGAGTCGCAGGGTGAAGAACTGCACAATGGCCGATGTTTAATCTCCATTGTTCAATTTGTCAAGTTAATTTCAGCAGCGATCAAAGCTGATAAAATGAGCGTTTGAGAGCGAACATGATTCAAGTTGGCACAATTCATTTATTAAACCTTTTTTTCTTCGGTTTGCTTCATTATTATTATACTGGAGCTTCACTCTAAGCTAAACGCTAGTTAATAAACAGATTTTCTGTCCGTACTCTGCGTTTATTCCTTCTGTATTTATTTCTTCTGTATTTATTTCTTCTGTATTTATATCTTCTGTATTTATATCTTCTGTAAGCTTATGGATCTGTGCGAAACGCAGCTATAGCACTTGAAACTGTGGACATTAGTCCTGCTGCAGTTTAATAAAATAATGAACCAGCTAAGATTTTATAGGCATCTCTTACTCGGTGTACTGAGCTTTCATCCGTAAAGATTTTACCGTCCGAGCAGACAATCAGACCTCATTGTTGGGGCATACATGCCAAGTACGCAATTCTCTCTCACGCAAGATTTAATCTGCCATAGAATGAATCGATTTTCTCGGAAATGCTGGGACGTCTCTTTTTCCATTAGTTAAGATAAGTCCCCTGAATTAAATTGTTTCACTAAGCAGTTAATGAAAGTGAATCAACTCTTACTCACGTCACATTGAGGATTAAAAAGGCCGACAGTTATGTAACGTAACATCGTCAGATTTATTCTTGTTCTACTCCAGAGCGCTGACTGATTACTAACGAGTTGAGCTCTCACATGAACCGCCTGGTCTTGTGTCCGATGTGGTCTATCCAGAACTCGGAGGAAGTCGGTCCGTAACTGCCTGAATAAGTTCTCTGTGGGAAAATAAAAACAATGTCCTGACTCAGAGGCTGTGTCGTCTTTCACAACAATCAGAGGACACGACGGGGAAAAGCATTCACAACTGGCTTGATTGATCAACCGTCCCATTCCTGCGAGAAGGTGAGAAATGATCTATACTCACCCTGTCGATAAGTAATGGAATTGATTCTGAATTGGGATGCAGGTCCACATCTGCTTTCACAAAGAAAAAGATCAGCCCACTGCAACAAACAAAATTAATATCTGTCATCCCCCCAAAAAAAATTTAACAAAGCAAGCTGCTATGATCACGATTTCTTTGCTGCTGCCAGGAGACAACGTCAGTGACAAGGAGGAGGAAGACATTTCACCTCAGCAGACACAACCCAGCTCCACAGTAATTTAATATCGGCCTGGAGACGTCCTGAGGAGCAATCCCGAACCAGCCGAATCTGAGGGAGACAGGTCACATAACTTCTACTGGGTTTGGTGCCAACAAAGAAAGTGCAACAAAATTGCCTCCACAACATTAATGTCTCAGAATGCCCTTTTCAAAAAGTTACAGTTCAATTAGAAGTCGTAAAAAGAAAGGAACTTACTTTTTTAACTTATTTAACTTTTAACTTACTAACTATTTTTTTTTTTCACCCAATTCTGGGAACAACACTATATCATCTGACTCACCTTGAACTGGCCCAGCCCATCAACAAACTAGACGATCCCCAAATTAAACTCCCAAGGCCGAGGCCGATGGCTTTAATGATTGGAACAACGGCTATATTTCCTGCGGACGACATTGGAGGGAGAATTTAGCGACACGTTTATCTCACAGTGCGCCATTTACACAACCGATATGACAGCAGTGGCGACGCACAAGGTTTTGGGGACTTTAAATCAGAGAAGAATTGGGGGAAGTGTAGAATGATTTCGTCCAGGGAGGTTGTTGCACCATCCTCTGTGTTTGTCCCACAAAACCACAGATGGAGAAAAAGGAAAATATCACACGACAGCTCAGCTCGTAAAGAAAAACTGGCAAAGAGTCATTTAGGCCGAGACAGTGCCGAGTCAAACGCAGCACATGAGGTGCGCTTCATGGCAGCATAAGAACGGACAAGAAGCCAGTGTCCTCAAAGTTGTTCTCAACTCTCACAGAACTGCATCAACATTTTAAGACGGACAGACGGTGGCTAAGTTGGACGCTTTGAGTCCGTCTGCTGCTGCAAACATCCAGATGGACCCTTGAAGACTTAATTCCGTTTGAGAACAACTTCAGGATCGTTAGAAGATGAAGTTTTACTTTAATGATACATCACCTGTGGCCCAGATCGCTCCCCCGAACATTGCGAAAGGTTGGAATTTGGGCGAATCTAGAATCAAGTCTCCAACCATAGATACAACCCATATGGCTGCACAGTTCACCCACTGGAAAAACATGCCTGTGGGCAGAGAGTAGGCCATTAACCTTTTTACAAAGCACTTTACATGAAGATGAAATCGCTTCTTTAGATGAAACGAGGTGCTCACCATCTCCTGTCTCGATCTTTTTGATGGAAACGAAGGTGCTTCCGTACAACAACACAGCAGCTGAGCTCGCAGTGATTCCATAGACGAAGTGAGTCATAGACGTTGAGTTGAAGGTGAAATCAAATGTTTCCAGTTTCCCAAATACTGCATTTCCACCAGCCCGGGAACCTGGAGGAGTTTTAAAGCCAGAAAATAAAAATCCAAAGGGCTTCAGGCAGCAGCAGCCACACACAGGCCCACACTCACTCACTCACTCACTCACTCATTCACACATCACGTACCTTGTTGAGCGCTGTGACAGCTCACCATCAACAAACAGGCAACTAATAAAAGCCAAGGGGGGAATTTCACTTGGACCATGTTAAAACTAAATATTGTTTCTTGATGTGGACACAGAGTGAAAACCAGCTGAGGCAGTGAATGAGTGTGTGTGTGTGTGTGAGTGTCTGACATCAGGTGCTGCCACTTGTCTAATCACTCAGTCTGATACACGAGGCTGCAGGACGGAGACAGACACACTTTGAGACGAGATGAAATAATCACATATTAGTTATTACTAATATATGTTATTGTCATTTTCCTCATTATTTATATTATTTTATTGTTATTATTATAATTATATTTTGTCATCTTTTCATTATGATCTCATTTATTTCATAAAATCATAGTTTATCTCACCTTATATTCATTCATTCATTATCTCCCATCATGGTCAGAAAAACTGAATAAGTCGAGAGTAAAACTGATTTCAGAAAATACTTGACCCATTAATAGAACAATTATTCATAGCGGATGTTTTAAATAAATAAATACAGCCGGAGGCAAAAATAGTCGGTTATCCAGACGTTTCTGGGCTGAAGTCGTCACACGTGCCACAAATCTGTCTCACTCTGAACTGACCTGGATAGATCGCCATGGTAACCTGCTCTGGATTAACTGATCACTGAACAAACCGAACCTGACTGAGGAGCCTGGGAGTTTACACTCGCAAGACAAATACTAATGGAAAAGATAAATATCTTTTATAGAGCTGTAAAATCATTGAATAGCCTTTAAACGTGTCACTCTGGTTTCAAAACAGAGTTTAGAACAAACATGGAGCGAGTCGACCGAACCAGATAACAACATTATGACGACTGCAGCTGTTTTGTAATCTTAGATTCAGGATCCTGACAGTGTGGTCGCTCTTATTCCTGCAGCTCAGAAGAACACGATGACTCTGTGTGATGACAGATAAACGCACTAGTGTCCATTTATCAGGAAAATTATCTGCACATTGTGAATCGTGGGATTTTGAAAAGATATCGCCTACACCTGTACAGAGCCAGACGAACTCCAGTTTAAGGTCATCCAGCGTTCAACGCCAACCCCCCCCCTACTGGCTTCATAGTTCAGCACATTGACAATGGCGATCACTTATCTGCTCATCAGCAGACGATGGTCCACAACAATAGTTCTATATTTAAACCGGGCTCAAGGAAATCCTGTGAGAATACGCTGCTGCACTCAAGTGTTATGTTCTGGTATAGTCTATCTATTCTAGTCTATTCTAGTCTATTTGATATGATTAGCCTGAACTCAGAACAATTTAAACTAAGGGCCAGCAGATGTCGCCTAAAACACATGGATGCATAATGAATGAATGAATGTGTAATTCATCACCCTCACCTGTGGCCTATGTGTTTAAATCTAGTCCATACTAAATGATTAATGTTCCTCAACCATGAGATTGTAGCATCGTGATATATTTAATCCTCAAAGCAGCAAACATTGGGTCAAAGTGTCATCCAGACATTTTGCCTAATCACTTTAGCTCTAACTTATTTTTAATATTAATTTTTTTTTAAGTGGTTTAAGGGGAATCTTCAGGGACCTCAGTCCAGAGTTGTGGTGACTTCACAACACGTCCATCAGGTGTCCCTGTCCCTGCGTATTCCACCATGTGTCCACTTCACTTGTGAAAGAGAAAGACAGTGTTCGTGTTGCCTCATGTTTGGGTTGGAAGGTGGTTTCCCAGCGGCTCCGTCCACTGCGCACTGCGCGCATTAGTCACTGTGCCCTATGTGGCCACGAGTCCTCCCTTCCAGAATGCGTTTCGGAAGTTGCGCGCTCCTCCCTGGTTCGAGTTTGGCTCAAAAAAGAAACTCAACCATGAAGATAACATAAGTTCTAATGGGGAAGTCTCGCTCTCGCTGGCTGTGCTTCCCTTTCCTGAGACTGACGAGCAGCTTTTGGAGGTGCCCTCTCTCCAGAAGGAGTTTGATCATCGCGACCCTATGTGCGGTCTATCTGGTTTTTGTGGTTTCATATGTTGGATACTCTCAGCAGCACCGGGACAGACGGACTGACAGACACAAGTACCGACACACCCGTGGACTGGAGACCGATGGTGCCCTTCTGGACTCTGCGGACCTGCAGACCGGTGAGAGCTTTGTGGTCCCGACCCGGTCCAACGTGGTGTACATCACGCTCAAATTCAAGCGCCTGAAACCAGCAAATATCCGCGGCACTATCAGGCCAAAGCTCAGGAGAAAGCTGAGGAAGAATAAATCAGCCAGTTCAGCTTTTACGCAGGACAAACTTGGCGCTTTGGAGCGAGACGCGGGACAGATTAAGCGCCACTTTGCACCCAAGACTTCCTGGAAGGAAACCAGGGAAGTCGATTATAAATCTTTAGATGTGAACCACAGATCTCACAGAGATGAAGTGGCAGAGTCTAACATCAGCTCCATACGAATCTACAGCCAGCGCGCACCGCAGTGGTTCAGCGCGCAGGACGTGGGAGCCATGCGCTTTCTTGCGGATGCCAAAGTTTTGCGCATCAGAGAAGTTCCTCGCGGGGAGTCTCCGTCACCTCTCCTGATGTTTGAGGGTGAGACAAGCGCGACGGCACGGAGCAGCGTGTGCGGGGGGCGGTGTGGAGTCATCAGCAGCCCCGTGGACACCACGGAGGTCTTTGCTTATCACTTGGACAGAGTGCTGGGGCTGAACAGGACGTTACCAGCTGTGAGCAGAAAGTTCAGGTTTCTACACGGTAGGTCACCCGGATGGAGATCGATCAACTGGTCCGAGTTGGATTAAAGTTTAAAAAAAAGTTGATTCCACAAGGGACAGTGTCTTTCATTGAACACCGTGAAAACCGCTGAGCAATGAGAAGAGGAGGGAGAGACAGAGAGCAGTGAGGAGGAGAGGAAGATTCTGCACGAGGATGATAAATGACAACTTCACTAGTTCCCTGAGTGGAACAAGTTTTTATGTGTTCAGGCTCTAGAACTGCAAATTGCATCGACATCATAAAAACGTCATCAGTGCTTCAGAGAAATGGATAAAAACACGAATAATACCCCGAGAAACTAAATGAACCGGTGCAGCTTTGCAATGGATTCTGAGGTTTTATAATTTTATGTATTTTGCACATTACAAGTGAGCAAGCATCACATCAGGACAAAAAATAGAACATGCAACATAAAATGAGCATCAAAGAAACATGCATAACAACATTAAGAGATTTAGAGGTGTAAATCTGTTAGAGTGCGTTTCAAGACAAAATGTGAAAGTAGAGCTGCAGAGTCAGATGATGTCATGTCAGAGGTTCAATCATCTTTAAACTGGAACAGATACAAGACCTGGACTCACAGAACCACGGAGCCTGTTAGGTCTGCACAGAGTGCGGAGCTCACTTATCCCAGCTCTGGATCCTTTAGAGCCTTGACGGTGATGAAGAGTGTTTAAAAAAATATATTGTAAAAGAGAACAGAAGCCGATGGAACGAGGCCAGAGCTGGTTTAATGTGAGAGAAGCTGCTTGTCTTGTTCAGTGATCTTGTTGCACAACAATCGTAAATCACTTCTATCAAGTAAATCAAACCGGTTTATTGTGTAAACCATCCAAATCAGATTTAGATGCAGTTGTTGGACAGATAATCCAACATGTGCTTATCGACTGCACTAAAGACTTTATCTCCACACTGCTCTAGATAAAATGCGGGTGGGAACTTTTCTTTTCCTCATGTCACTGAAATCAGGGAGTTTGTCTTGAGGCTGGATTCAATTACGAAAGTCATGCTTCACTGTCCTTTAATCAAATGTATAAATTCAGTTCAAACCTTGCAGACCTTTGAGCACAGAGCTCCTCCAGTTGGTGCAAGTAGAACCCGAGGGACACATCAACAGCAGGTGACAAGCAAAATAAAATAATTAAAAACTTTGCCTCCGAAGAACAACAGAGAGTTTGATGTGGTGCTTTGATTCGCAATGAACGCTGTGCAAAATTAAAGTATGAAATATTCATAAATACACAACCAGGCATCATAAAACACATCTGTCCACTTCCCTCCGCTCTTTGAGACATGAACAGAACATGAAAACATCATTCCATGAACAGATCCTGGACCATCACTGAGTTATTGTTGCAGGAAACAGCCTCAGACATTCTGGGAGAGAAAGAAAATCCCTGTCCATCTCTCTGCTGTCTGGATGAGCTCAGTGACCCGCGGCAGATACTGTGCAGCCTCCGGGCATGTGTGTGCTAACTGCATAAATTCCGGTGACGGCACCAGCGTGCTCACCGGTCACTGTGTGTTTCCAGGATAAAAATAGGTTTTAAAAAACTCCATGAGACTGAGCAGTTGTTGAAACCTGACCGTGCGATCTGTGCATCCTTCCCTCTTTTAGACGGCCGGCCAAGTCCAGTGGTGTTATGGGACGAGTCTCTGTACCCAGAGGGCCTTGCTGCAGGCCGGGCCACTGTGAGGTTAACATGGGGGGGCTACCAGAGATCCCTGAAACAAAGGTGCTGGCATAAAAACATCAGCCCGAGGCCCGACTCTCACTGCGGCGCTGTTCATCACTACGAGTGGAGCAGCCTCGCTCTGTTTGACTTCTTGTTACAGGTAACGAAGGATTTGCTGCTTTGATTATGACGAAAGCTGAGATTTGTCTTCACAGGCTTTTTTTAAATTCCAGAATCGCTTCATAGATGAGTTTTGCTTTTTTTTTTTGTCTGACATTAGAAATTCACTCTCGCAGCTTTTAACTCCTGAAGAAAACAATTAATTATCCTCTGCTGTGTGATCTCATTCTGACACTAAGGACACACTTGCTGAGCGTTTTTTGTTCTGCAGCAGATATTTGAGATGTTACTGATGACATCACCGAAAGGCTCTGTTCGTGTCAGGGGTCTCGGTGTAACACGTGACCGCGTGTGATCATGTAATACCGCCAGCCTGAAGCTGCAGGAGCATTCCCATCGTTCCAGTTTAAGACGAGAGTGAACTCAACACTGTGGAATTGATGAGGCTCATTTATCAGTCGATAAGAATTATTTTACACATCAGGCTAAAGTCAGATTTTTGAATTCTCCACGTTGTTCATTAACTGAGACAAAGTCTCTGACGATGGATGTTGGGTTTGGAGAGGTTTTCTCTAAAGCGGTATGATTAGGGGTTTGTGTTTTCTGCTCATCTCTATTTCTCGGTGGATGCTCACACACGCAGCCAAATCTCCCAAATCCTCAGATGTCTTCTATTTGTGAGCGGCTCCTAAACCTTGTGTCTGAAACTCGTGAGGTCGAACCTCTCGGATGCTGCTCAAATCCATAACGATCCGTCGGTAAGAGAGTGCGGAGGCTTGAGGAAGTCGTTCATGGCTCCAGTGTTTCTTCAGGAAGAAGAAAAACTCTTTGATAAGCTGCTTTCGACTTTGATAGGCAGGATCATCAAACACTTCAAAAGGGAGAGGAAAAAACAGAAACACCAATATGAAGAGAAATCCATATTTACCGTCTCCTGCTCTCTTCTCAACATCAAGCAGACAAACTCTGAAAAAATGTCTTTCTTCAGATTCACAACCGTCTGGACGGGAGCTGCTGCGGGTTCAGGCCCCGGCAGGAGGACGAGTGTGCGGAGCTCGGACGCCACGCTGAGTGCGGGGACCCGGAGCGCCTGCAACTGGCCAACATCGTCCACAGGGGTCACGACCCCAGACACCTGGTGTTCACCAACAACAAGGGATTCTTCGACCGCAACGAGGACAACCTGGACTTCAGGCTGCTGGAGGGGATCACTGAGTAAGTTCAGGGGTAGATCAGACAGAGAGACAGATTAATATTTATATTAATAATTATTATTATTATTAGGAGGTCGTCAGGATAATCTAGAAAACATGTAGCACAGACGTCAGGTCATGTGAAAATCACAAATTCAATTGTGACAGGAAGTCTTTTGTTTTGAGTTTCCTACGTCATTTTATAAACTTTATTTTTGAGGCCTTTTGCAACTCCTGAAACTGAGTTAGTGAAATCTTAGTCGGGCCTGTTCAGATTCACTCACCTGTCATTTCTAATCACATATTAAACATTTTAAATCTCTTATTTTCATCTAAATTTTAAAAACATGTCTTCAAACCTGTTTTAAAATCTTCAAGAAACCTAAGATCTGGTTCATCACATTAAACCTGCAGGTACGCAGCATGACACGCGTTGTTCCTGTCTGTTCTCCGCTGATCCGGGTGGTTGTGTCATTTGAAAGTTAACTTCAGTGCTTTCATTTCGTTCATCCTTTGATCAATAACCCAGAGACGTGTCACTGGGGAGACAGTTGCGGTGTGTTTGGCGAGAACACTGGCGTCTCCTCTGCAAACACGGATCCTTGTGATTCTCGTGGAAGCTGTTGCTTCTCTTCTGCCACATATTAGAGCAACATGGGTCTAAACCCTAAACCCACAAATCACAGGACGTCAAGATTATTAATTCGATGTCATGTCGGAGTCTTTGTAGATTTGAAAGGTTTTTCTTTGACTTTTATAAAAGCTGAATATACGGATGTTATCTCAGGCATCTATATATATTAAATGTATCTTTACAGTTTAAGCTCACTTGCGTAGAAAGTTGAAATCGAAGATCACATGATCACGTCCCGCCTTTCCCTCGCGCTGTTATTTTAATTCCTGCTCAAACACGTCACCGTTAATATTCATTCAAAACTCCGACTGAGACAAAGCAGCACTTTTTCATTTTGTCCAGTCTTACAGAGCACAAAGGATCTCATGGTGCAAACCACATGTTCGTCTTATCGTCGGTGTGAGGAGCCCGAGGTTCGACTAAGCCCCGGACTCGTTCCGAACCTTGATGCTGTGCCAACACACAGCTTCAAATACAGAACCTAATGTCAAGTTCAATCAAATCTACCGCCAAGAAAATCCTTGTCACCATTTGTGCTTGTGTTCTCAAATGTTAAACTGAGTCTCCTGTGACCAAACTTTGAGCATATGTCCGAGGACGTGTTACGTTTTCTGGGCTTAATTAATAAGTGGAAGTGACATCACATTTTGTAAACAGATATCAGTCCCCTAAATGTGCCGTAGTGTTTTTTTAATTAAGGTCCATGAAGTATTTCCTGGAAACGATAAAGAAAGTCTTCACCATGTTCCGTCCTTCCTCCAAGTTTTCGTGGAAAGTCTTGTGCGTTCTTCGTGTTATCCTGCCGACAAACAAAGAAAAACCAGAGAGGTGCAAAAACACAACGCTGAAGGTCTGTAAAAATAATTCTTCTTTCTCAAGGTTTGTAATTATCAGGGTTTGCTCACAGAGTTTTGTGGAGGTGTTATCCAGAGAGACGTAGCTAAATTCAGTGCCCTCGTTTATATAGATTGTGAAATATCTCTCAGTAATAAACTTCAACAGCCTCACAAACAACAACCGCAAATGAACCATGAAGTTAAATCAACATCTGCCTCAAAACCATTATTATAACTGTGATTATCCGGGACTTTTAGGACCGAAGCAGATTTAACAAGGAATGTTGAATAAACCGAGAACTGAGGGAGAAACATGAGCTTTCACTGTTAATAACTCAAATCAGATTCAACACTAATTTAGAGTTTGCACTCAGTGACGGTGTTTAACAGGCAGCGAGCGGCGAAAGAACAAGAACGAACTTGGAAAAGTGATAAAAAAAAAGTAGCCTTACATAAATCATCTTCACTTTTGTGAGTCAGGTTTATAGTTAGCGTGTTAACTCATCCTCACAGTCTCTTACTCTTTTTATTGGCTGTTATTTCAAGAATATTCACGAAAACATCTAAATTACACGCGTGTAGAAGAAGAACGAATGTCTGTCAATCTGTCCACTCTTTCACTTCTGTGCCTTCATCTCCGAGGTTACGTTTCAGCTCTATATCGCAGCGTTCAGAAACAACCAAGATAAAAATACAACATCCTTTTCAGCTGCCTTCAGAGAGTCAAACAGTCGAGATCTCCTCTGCTCCTCAGACACGACGGAAACTATGTGATTCAATAACGTCTGTGTTTGTCCAGGCTTCCGGAGCAGGCGGTGTCGGTGCTGCGGAGCAGGAGGCTGAGGGAGCGACTCCTCCAGTCTCTGTTCCTGGACGAGACGTACTGGGAGAGCCAGGGCGGCCGACAGGGCATCGACAAGCTGATCGACGTCGTCGAGAGGCGGGCGAAGGTCCTCCTCACTTACATCAACGCACACGGGATCAGGGTCATCGCAATGAACGCGTGACGAGCTTCAAAAACCAAATGACGAGACAAAGAAAAGGTCAAGCAACAGTTTGGTCCTGAAACAAGACACTGGAGTCTGACACATTTTAATCTGGATAAAAAACTTCAGCTAAATATAAACGAGAACATAAATGAATGTGGTCCTAATCCTCAGGATCATGTACATTCACAAAGAAATATTCTAATCACAGGGTTAATGAGTAATTATACAGTATTTCTTTAGAAACTTGATGAAGGACTTCCTATAAATCACCCACTAACCTTTGAAAACAACGTTTACTCTTTCTTGTGATATCTGCAAAGCTTTTGATTAATCTATGGAAACGTGTCTAAACTCATGATCTGCATGAGATACTGAGGAATTCTTTAACTTATCTAATGTACGACATTTACTTTAACTCTTTTCTGAAGGAAGGAAGCTAATTAGTTTTTCTTCCGTCTGCCGAGTCTTCATTTCTTTCTCTCCCCGGAGGCCAAACCGCTGTCGTCATTATGTAAAGAACACGCTGCCGTTATAACTTCTCCTCCTCCCGAGGCTTCCAGACACAATCATTGTCGCTGTGAGTGACGAGGAAGAACGACGCGATAACTTATTGTTTCTGAATGTGGCGTCAAATATTTTACACTGAACGATGAGTTATTGAATCTTTTATATATTTTGTCTTAAAAACGTCAGTGTGAATGTTTTTCATGATGAAACATGTTTGGGAAGAACTGACTGTAAATTATAAACTGAAGGACTTTAAGTACAAGAACTTTTCTTTTCCTCTCGTGTCTTTATTTCACTACACAAACACTTTGACGCTTTTGCCGTAAACCTTTTTGTATTTATTTATTTTTGTACTTTCTTTCTAATTATTGAAGCTGTCAATAAAAGTTTTTTTTTTTTGTGTGTCAAAAGTTTTTGGCCTTGACAGATAAAATCATTGAAAGAAAACAAGCGCAGACCTCTGACCTGGGATCTGTAGCTTCTCCTGTCGACTCGATGTGATTTCAACTTTACTGTGTTTGTGTAAAAGTTCTCTTTATTCCGAGTGTGTTTTAAAATGAGCATCGATTATTTCCTGCCAGAGACAAAAGCATCTCTCGTTGGACGACAATGAATTTCTTTTTACACGTAACCACGGTCTGTAAAAATGCATGAGCTAAGATATTTTTGAATGTCAAGCTCAGAAATAGTCTGTGAAACCTGAGCCGCGGCGCGTCGCCTGCCTTCCATGCTGCAGTAAACATTGAGCTTTGGGCTCTCACGTTGGCCTTTGACGGGTTTTTTTCCCGGTGTCCGTGCCGGGCATTCACTGGCCTGTTGTTTTAACCCCTCTGCACCCGCATTAGTGTGTCAGTGGGGTCCGTGCCTCTGTGTGTTTGCGTAAGAAAAACCCCTCGAGTTCCCAGAGTGCTCGGCAGCGGAACTTACTTTCTCTACACGCATGTGAGTTCGCGTTTTCTCACACCAGGACAGACGCAGACAAAGGACAACGTTGGAGCGATGTATGTAACAATATGTCTCACGGACTCGCACGGACATGGGGACCCTGACCTCCCCTGACACGAGTGAACCGCAGTAAAAACAGCGTGTTCGATTCTGCAGGTCAGGTGCTGCGGCCCAAGCTAACGAGACACAGACACACCTCGATAAATACTGATTCTAAATCAGTATCATTCTGCAGATGCATCCATTCATTACTAAGATGTTTGTGGTGAAATGTGAAGACTTTAATTCTCGGAGCTTCTTCCCTCTACATGACCGAGCCGACACGTTCACGCATGTTTGCACGGATAATGAATATCTCTCACTCTCTCTCTTCCCATTAGAGAGAAGTGGAGCTCTCTCGTCCTTCGTTCTGCTTCCAGTTTTACAGCAAACATGGGAAACGAGAAGGTTTTGTCTCTGAGTCACTTTAATGTGGAATCGTTCTCGGGTGGGACGGTTCATCTGAGTCGTGCCCAGCCGGCTGCTCCCTGGTCCGACTCCAAACAGCATCTAAAACAGAGGAGCTCTTTATTCGCCTCCATAATCACTGTGGTTTGTGCCGTGATGTCACTTTTCCCATTAGCTGCTGTTCACCACTCGCCCACGTTGAATCATGCGCCCAGAAGCACAGTCACTTATTTACTATGACATTTATTTATTCACTCTTGAATTCGTTTTCTCTCACACGAAGAACATGGAACCGACAGAGAGGGCGAAGTCCTCGTCTTGGAGTTGGACTTTGGTTTCTCGTGCAGCGGTTGTTGTTTATATCCCTGTTTGGAATGAGCCGTTTCCTCGGCCTGTGGTTAAACTGCTTGCACCTCATTTTTTTCTGAAACTGTGAAAGGACCACAGACGCCTGAAGCGTGAACAAAGAGCTGTTCACGCTTTCTGCCGAGTGTGAAACCAAGAAGAGTTCTGAAGACAGAGAGTTTTGATACTTCAGAAAACTTGCCAAGAGTTGAACAAGAAGATTAATGCCACTCCCATGAATCAAACTCATAAATAATGGATGGTTGTGAGATTTTTATCGATTGAATAAACATAAGTTTGGATTTATTCACAAAATGTTTCTATTTTGTCAAGATGTGTAACTTCCTGTCAGTGCGGCGTAAACACACCCAACATAAGTTATTCATTTATTTTATCAATGCAGGGCAGTCGGATGTGTTTTCTCTTCCTTCGAGTCACCCTGTGTTTTCTTTATGGCCTCGATAACTCTCGGGTCGTGAAGTCTGAACTTTACCTCGTTCTCTGAATCTGGAACCAAACAACAGACTCCAGAAGTATTTCACACGGAGGATGAGGGAGGAAACCGAGAAAAAAAAGAAAGCCACCAGACACAACAAAACCTTCCTGCCACGTTGCCTCTGACTGTTCGGAGGAGGAAGGTGCCGATAAGGACCTCGGAGGAGTGAACTGAAAGAATGTCAACATGCGTGAGATAGAATCATGTCAAAGCACGTTTCATACACACTAAAAACAACACACGATTCAGAAGGTGAAGATTTATCACAAGTCTTTTGACAACTTTATAACAAGCAGGAACAACTTCTGCAGGTTTGGAGTGAAGCCAGGATCTTTTATTTCAGCTTATTCCACCAAAAGCAGAAGTCTGAGCGGATTTAATTCAGCCGGCCTGAATGAAAGTATCACACCCAATGAATCTCTCCTCTTTACTCCTGGAGGGTTTCAATTTCCCATCACCCACCTCCTGTCACAACTTTGAACTCTTCTCTTAAATATACCTTTTCTCAACTCTGCCGAGGAGATCACGTTTTCGTCTGATAGATTACTCAAAAACCAGCGGACGGATTAACAGACAACTTGGTGGGAGGATGCAGTTCGGATTAGAGAAGACAGGTTTTATTTTCAGTTTCTTTAACGTTGATTGAACAAAACCTCCAAAACGGATTTTCTTGAAGTTTGGTGGAAATGTGTGGATTGTCCAGGATTCTTTTGTTAAACTTTCTTTAACATGTGAGACACAGTGTTTTTCACAGGAAGTTTGTTTGGGGGAATGTTGTTTTCATGAGGCGACCTGTTGGGCCTTGATGGATTGGATTTTTAAAGTTTGACTTCTGTTTTGTTTGTCTACTTTAAAGCACATTTCTGATTAAATGCAGAGTGATTCTTCATTTCACCGAATGCACAAAACATATTGACCTTTTTCCATTAATGCTGATTCAAGCGTTTCCTCCTGTGGCAGCATTTTGTCTCGAACGCTTATAAACACGCTGCACTAATAAGTGAAAACTCGCCCTTAGTTCTCTTTAAAACCACAGCTGCAGCTCAGACTGAAATCTATTCAAGCGGAAGGTTCTCTGTCAGGTAAGAATGCAACCACATGAAATAGCCAGAGGCTACAGCGAACAGGCCGTGTCAGCCTCAGTTATCTCTCAGAGCTGATTTAATGAAAGGGTCGAGAAACACATGGAAAATTACAATAAACTCAGCTTCTCATGAGAAACATGGATTTTAAAAGTCATATGTTATGTGGAATGTATATGTGAAGAGGTTGAATAAGGTAAATAGCTGCCGGACACAATGGAAGGCGTGAGCAGCTTCCTGTATCGTGTGATGACGTGCGTCAGGGGATTATGGGAGAATAGGAGCACGGTGCAGAGGCTCCTCCCAGCTGACGAATTATTCAACCATGTCATGACCTCAGGTCTGTGTTTCCCTCTTATATTTCATCATTCTTGAACCCGGAGCAGGTTCTGTTTGTTGCTCGTGAACCTTTGAGCAGGACATCCGAGGTCATGAATCATTCCGAGCGTCCGGCACACGGCAGCCTGTACCGTCACCCGTCTGATCCGGTTATTAACTCTATCTATCGGAAATGTGAAAGGTTTACAGTTCCTTATAAACATCTGTTGCTGAAAATGGCCGACCCGGAGGAAATTAAAGTCTTTCCTGCACCGAGACCTCGACGCACTCACCTTCCTTAATTCAGCCGAGGTAAAGACACCAAGGCTTTTTGTGGAAACACAGATTCAAACTCCCCAAAAACAAAAGTTGATCCTCACCTGCACACAAACAAACCGCAGAATGTTTGACTTTGATTTACTACAGTAATTTGCTGCTGTGGTTTCCCTCCCGCTGCATTGTTATCTGCAACTGTACAGGACAGTTTGTCTTTGCAGCACGTGTAAAACAAGAGCCAACTTATTTTATTTTTTCATCACAGAAAGTTTTTTCAGTGATTTTCTCTCATGAAATTCATAACGGGAGCACAATGAAATGAAATAACAAAGGGTTTAAATGGATTTTAACAACTGGGATCAATTAAAAGCCGCTTTAAAATATCCTTGAAGGGTTAAACAACAAAGACTTATTAATAAAATGAAGCCTCCAGCCCCCCCGAGGGCCTCACACATGATCCTTGTGTAAAGTCAAACATCAGACGCTGCAGAGACGAGTATTTGACTAATATTAATTAATAATGGAACACAAACCGAGCCGTGAGCAGAAGAGGAACCGTCATCATACGCAGCTGAAGTGCTAGGTGGCTGTGATGTGAGATTAAAGGGCATGCAGAGTAAAAAAACTGGCCCGAGGCATCGCGGACTCCGTGGACCGGCATCTCAAACATCTGCTCCCAGAAATATCTGGAGCAATCAAACAGTTGTGGAGCTGATATATGTGGCATTCTATATTTAGAGAGGTGGTGGTGAGAGAGGAGCGGCACGTGGAGCACGCAGCAGACTCCCGCAACCAAACCGCTCCGGACGATTACTCACACAACTCCAGACGTTAGCTGTAATCCTCTCACAGCCGTGTTTGGTGAAGCTGATCGTCCACCTCAAGCCAAGTTTACCCTTCTTTAAACACTGGACCCAGATGCACTGTCATTCCGTAAAATTACAGACGATAAGATTTGCTCCAAGAGGACGTGAGGGTTATTTTAGGAGCGTCGTTTTGTGATTCATTTGTTGGAGCAACTGTGATGTTGGATTCTTTTATATTTTGCTAACTTTAACTTCGTCCCCTGTAACTCAAAGTTCACCAGAGTTGAACTCCGTGGGAAGCAGAGCTGTGATTTGCTTCACCGCAGCACGAAAACATTTGCTTTGCTCCCTGCTTGAACATATTGGAAGTGAACAGGAGGCGAAGATTTATTCCAGCATGTGTGAGTTTATTACCATTTTTGAAAGAGATGCTTGTGGGCTGTTTCACCCTCTACAGGTGAAAGGCCTTAATTACACCCTTCAAAGATTAATATGTGTTTGTCTGCATAAATCCATTTTTATACATATTTGATTTATTTATCTGTTTTACTGAATTACAGGAAAAAGGGGAATTCAAAGGTTTAAAGCTTGTTTATTTAA